TACAAAAAAAAAAAAAGTCATATTCTAACGAAAATTCCTATGATAATATATTTTAATAGAAATTCCAACGGATATTCCAATGGTATAGCTTCCGTTGGAATGATTACAACGGAAATTCCAACAAAATATTCCGTTGGAACGTATTTTTCATTGGAATTATAGATGAAATTTGATGATTCCAACGACTTTTGACCGTAGTAATTTTCGTTGGAATATGCAATTTCCGTTGAAATTTATATTTCCACCACTGTTAGAAAATCTATCGTTGGAATCATCAAAATCCAACGAAAATTCCAATGGAAAACTCATTCCAACGGAAATAATACCATTGAAATATCAATTGGAATTCAATTGGAATATATTTCCGTTGAAATTTTATCATTTTCTTGTAGTGCTATATATCTTCAATTTTCACAATTCTAATTAGTAATTACAACAGTATATAATAACCTATCTAAATCTGTTTGAACATGGATGACCCACTACAAGAAAATGATGAAATTCCAACGGAAATATATTCAAATAGAATTCCAACGGCAATACCAATGTTTAAATGCTATTATTTCTGTTGGAATAATTTCAAAGGAAATTCCAACAAAAATATTTCGTTGGAATGAGTTTTCCATTAGAATTTCCGTTAAATTTTGACGATTCCAACGGTAGTGAAAATAAAAAGTTCCAACGGAAATTACATTTTTCAAAGAAAATTCCTACGGTCAAAAGCCGTTGGAAATATAGCCGTTTGAAATATCAAATTCCATCTAAAATTCCAACGAAAAATACATTCCAACGGAATAATTTCGTTGGAATTTCCGTTCGAATGATTCCAACGGAAACTATACCATTGGAATATCCGTTGGAATTTTCATTGGAATATATTACCATATGATTTTTCTTTGGAATATAACAATTTTTTTGTAGTGACCAAGTCTAACTTGACGTATGTCTGCAAGAACAATTTTAATAGCTCTCTCACCAATTATTGTTTGAAATAGTACTAATATAAAAATGTCTATATCAGGGAAATTATAGATTAATCATAAAGCCTAATGTCGGTTTCTATGGTTATAATTTATAAATGGCGTAGATGGCAAGGATCATTGGCTGAATATATTGACTTATACGTACCAATATTGGTTTTATATTTCTGATGGTGTATAGTTTAATATGTAACTTAAGAATGAAAATAAAAACGGAATATTTAAATGATCATAATTGTTATTCCAACCATGTTACTGTGAATATTAACCAAATCAGTTTAATTAACGATTTTTTTTAACAAATTATGTCGGATAAATAATTTGTTATTCAAACCATGTGTGAATGAGCTTGACTGTTGGGCGAGTCAGCTAGTCATGGCATTTTAACAAAAAAAATGTATGCTTATTTTGTTGGGCGAGTCAACTTGTCATGACATTTGAAAGTATGCACATATATTTAAAAAAATATGATTTTCTAAGCGTTATATTCACCTAGCAACATACTTACTGTTTTAGAATTAAACCGAATATATATAT